AACTCCTGTCAGGGATGGTCTAGGTTTACCTGGTCCTGCCTCAGAGCAGGGGGATGGGTTTGATGACTTCTCAAGATGCCCAACCAGCCCTACATTTCTATGTTTCCTCTTTTTCCTTTTCATAACAGTGAGCGCAAGCTGAGTGGAACCTGAGTTTCCTTTTCAATTACTTTAAAGAAACTGAAAGACACTTCAGTGGATTCTTCTGAAGCAGGTAGCAATAATTCCGAGTCTCAGCCAAAGGGGATGTTTCAAAAATTTCCAGGATCATGTTTGCACCAGTTAGCATGATAACCATCATCATCTTATTTCATATTAATCCTGCAGTAGCAGATGGGGCTGGTGGGGCCTGTTTAAAAAAGGAAGAAGAGGTGGAGAGAAATGAGAGATGAGTGAAAGGTTAATGAAAAGGCATGACTGCTAAGAAGAGGGATCTAAACCCTCCACCTTCAGGATATAAGCCAACCACTCACTAATGGGGGTTAGGAAAAAGCTCTCCTTGTGAGCCTGTTATTTCATAACAGCTGACTGCAGGGTCTCTTGCATCTTCCTTAGAAACATCCAGTGCTGGCTGCTATCAGGACACTGGATGAGATGGCTCATAGTTGCCCTGCAGTTACTATGGTCCTAAGTGGTAAAGATTTTTTTTTTCATCTTCAGTCTGTGTCTACTGTTTGGGTGCGATACTGAGCTCTCTTTGTGCAGCGAGAACAGCACAAAAGGGACTTTAAGCCAGCCTAAAGAGGCTGCTGAGGGTTACTGAGCATGGAGGAATCCTTACATTGTGTGTATTATACAGCATAGCCAGCTTTATGCCATCTGATTTCCTGCCCTTTGGGATAGGGGGCACAGATGTGTAGGGAGACAGTGTGCTAAGGATGGGGCAGATGGAGTCCCACCCCTCCATTGCTGCATTTTTCCCCAGCGTATATGGGGATCGTGGAGGGGGAAAGATGTAAAAAAATTCTAATTCTGAAGCACAGAGGGTCCACAGGCAACTCTGTCCTATAAAGGGTCTTTGTACCATGCAGCCCACCCCACTGACACACACCACCCCAGCACAGTGCTTAACTGGTGCAGGGGGCTTTGCCCTGGCCTCCCAAACCATGGGTAAATTTAAGAACATAAGAATGGCCATACTGGGTCAGACCAAAGGTCCATCCAGCCCAGTATCCTGTCTACCAACAGTGGCCTATGCCAGAGGGAGTGAACCTAACAGGTAATGATCTAGTGATCTCTCTCCTGCCATCCATCTCCACCCTCTGACAAACAGAGGCTAGGGACACCATTCCTTACCCATCCTGGCTAAAAGCCATTAATGTACTTAACCTCCATGAATTTATCCAGTTCTCTTTTAAATCCTGTTATAGTCCTAGCCTTCCCAACCTCCTCAGGCAAGGAGTTCCACAGGTTGACCATGCGCTGAGTGAAGAAGAACTTCCTTTTATTTGTTTTAAACCTGCTACCCATTAATTTCATTTAGTGGCCCCTAGTTCTTATCTTATGGGAACAAGTAAATAACTTTTCCTTATTCACTTTCTCCACCCCACTCATGATTGTATAGACCTCTATCATATCCCCCTTAGTCTCCTCTTTTCCAAGCTGAAAAGTCCTAGCCTCTTTAATCTCTCTTCATATGGGACCCGTTCCAAACCCCTAATCATTTTAGTTGCCCTTCTCTGAACCTTTTCTAATGCCAGTATATCTTTTTTGAGATGAGGGGACCACATCTGTATGCAGTATTCAAGATGTGGGCATACCATGGATTTATATAAGGGCAATAAGATATTATCCGTCTTATTCTCTATCCCTTTTTTAATGATTCCTAACATCCCATTTGCTTTTTTGACTGCTGCTGCACACTGCATGGATGTCTTCAGAGAACTATCCATGATGACTCCAAGATATTTCTCCTGATTAGTTGTAGCTAAATTAGTTATGAATAGGTTGAATAGGATTGGTCCTAGGACTGACCCTTGGGGAACACCACTAGTTACCCCTCTCCGTTCCTGAAAATTTACCATTTATTTCTGTCTTTTAACTAGTTCTCAATCCACGAAAGGATCTTCCCTCTTATCCCATGACAACTTAATTTATGTAAGAGCCTTTGGTGAGGGACCTTGTCAAAGGCTTTCTGGAAATCTAAGTAAACTATGTCCACTGGATCCCCCTTGTCCACATGTTTGTTGACCCCCTCAAAGAACTCTAATAGATTGGTAAGACAAAATCTCCCTTTACAGAAACCATGTTGACTTTTGCGCAACAATTTATGTTCTTCTATGTGTCTGACAATTTTATTCTTGACTATTGTTTCAACTAACTTGCCCGGTACTGACGTTAGACTTACCAGTCCATAATTGCCAGGATCACCTCTAGAGCCCTTCTTAAATATTGGTGTTACATTAGCTGTCTTCCAGTCATTGGGCATTGTAGCTGATTTAAAGGACAGTTACAAACCATAGTTAATAATTCCGCAATTTCACATTTGAGTTCTTTCAGAACTCTTGGGTGAATGCCATCTGGTCCCGGTGACTAGTTACTGTTAAGTTTCTCAATTAATTCCAAAACCTCCTCTAGTGACACTTCAATCTGTAACAATTCCTCAGGTTTGTCACCTACAGAAGACGGCTCAGGTTTGGGAATCTCCCTAACATCCTCAGCTGTGAAGACTGAAGCAAAGAATTCATTTAGTTTCTCCGCGATGGCTTTATCGTCTTTAAGTGCTCCTTTTGTATCTCGATCGTCCAGGGGCCCCCCTGGTTGTTTAGCAGGTTTCCTGCTTCTGATGTGCTTAAAAAACATTTTGTTATTACCTTTTGAGTTTTTGGCTCGCTGTTCTTCAAACTCCTTTTTGGCTTTTCTTATTACGTTTTTACATTTAATTTGGCAGCGTTTATGCTCCTTTCTGTTTACCTCGCTAGGATTTTACTTTACTTTACTTTGTCTATTTCTGTCTATTCCTATAAGAAAATGTATAGTCCAGTGAAGTAACACTAAGTTGAGGATAAAGTGAATCCTTAAACAATTTACTGTATGAAACTGCCTTACTTTCTGGAGATTTCTGCCTTTTAGGCTAGCACATTTGTTGACTAAGATTTCATTTTACTTTTAAGATTTTTGGTTCTACTGTAACCATGTTATAGCTTGACCAGGTTGCTATACACTAGTTTAGCTACTTAATCATCACTTCTTGCATTTTTCTAGATTTTAGCAGATTACCAAATTCAGTTCTAAAATGGGAAAGCAATGAAAGATTATCTTTAATGGCAGACAAGAACTGAATAGCAATGAGGGATGTTGGCCATTTGTTAATGTGCTTTCACAAATAATGTATTGTGCATGTCTTATATTTTAAGAGTATGTATAGTTCAAAAGTCACATTGCACTGTTAGGAGGCCCAGTGACCAAATGTACTAGAACATCACCTCTGAACCTTTATTGAGATCTGGCCTTAATCAAACAAGTTTCATCAGCCTACTGGATAGCCAGGCTACAAAATCACAGCACAAACTATAATATAGAAAGATTGGCAGTGTTGGTTCAACAAAGGTGAAAGACCAGATTAGCTGGTCTGGACTGAAGTGCATTGGTTAGGGTTGTGTGAAGAGGCTTGCACAAACCTTTCTACTTTATATTGCTGGTCAGTCTTTAACCAGTCGTCAGTGTCTCACTTTTATAAGCACGATCATTCACCCAAAAACTAAAATAAAAACCATCTAATCTTATTCCTTGATCATCAAGTCCTTGAGAGTGTCACGCAGCAAATTCTTCATTGAATTGTGAATTTCACCCATATTCTTTTTTGGTGGGTCACATCAAAATGGCAGCTTTCAGTGTTTTTTAAATGTACAATCCAGAAAACATTCTTCATCTGCTCATAAGGATCTGATAACATTCTTTATCAGAAGCCAGGTCACATATTGGATCACAACAACTTATCAGTTTCCACATAGCTTTTTTCTACTCCCGGGTTCCAACCAATTAAACTTACTGCATTACAGAAGGATAATTCTAACTACTATGTTTATTGTTCATTTGTTTGTTTGTTTTGAAGCAATGCCTGTGTTATGCTAATTCAGTACGGAATTGAAAATTAATTAAGAGACAAGTGATCTCATGTGATACTGTCATGCACTCAGGAAGGTGTATTCCGTGGCACATGTAAACACATCTGCAGGAGGCTTGTTACTGTGAAGAAATCAAGAGGTGGTATGAATTGACAGGGATAAAGTGTGAACTGGTTAGAGCCATCCAACAGAAGTCAGACCAGCAAGTACCAAAAATCTCCTCAAAAAAGAAACAGGCCAAATTGCTTCTGACAAGACAGGATCAGCATCCAAACTAGGCTCCTAGAAACAAAATGTTGTCTCTCAAAATGCTAGTGCCCAAAAATACCTAATATTAATAACAAGGACGAATACAATCCTTTGCTGGTACCAAGCAAAACAATTTCATAACTTAACAAAAATGCAAGCATGAAAAAGCAAGGTTGACTAATTCTAGCTGTTGAACTACAAAAGCAGATCTCTATCGAGAGAAAATCAGTCTATTCGCTATTGCTCGTTGCCATAAAAAGCAGATTATTAAAATCAATAGTGACTTAGAAATCTGTCCCTGGAAAAAACAACAATTTTTCTCTGTAGCTTCTAGCTGGAAGTAGCTTTAGCATAACTTTGTAAAAGCTTTTAGACAGAGCTTGCAATCCCTGGTCTCTCATACTGTGACAAGAACAAGCATCTTGCAGCTGGTCTCGCAGCCAATATTTCAGATTCACAGTTCTATTCACTCCACATTTCTAATTCAGCAAATGCATCAGCCGGGGCAGCTGATATGAGTAGCCAGGACCTCCTTTATTATCATATAATCTGATGCATATAGTTGGCCAATGACTATGTGTGAAAGGAGGGGCTTTCTGTCTAAGGACGCCTCATAGCTGTTAGAACAGCAAAACCTCAACGGAGTCCAGCCGTACACATTCACTTATGTATCTCTCTGTGTCTTTGTGCTGTCAGGTCTGGCAGGACATCTGTGTGTGTCTCTCTCTCTTCCTTTTTCTGTTTCTAGCAGTGAGCAAATTGCAACAGGCAAGCCTTAGTTAGCCTGAGTAAGGCTGGATCTGAGTAGAGATACTTCCCAGCAGAACCAGCAATGGACTTGATCACTAATGTCTCATGGTTTGATCACCTATCTGCAAAGGAGGAAGTTTTCAGGAGCTATTTAAACAGCACCGAGGACTATCTATCCTTTTTATGTGGACCCAAGCGGAGCCCTCTGTTCTTGCCCATGACTTTGGTGTATGCCTTGATTTTTGTGGTTGGGGTGATGGGCAACCTTTTAGTTTGCCTAGTGATCCTTAAGCACAGGAACATGAAAACTCCTTCCAACTACTATCTCTTCAGCCTGGCCATTTCAGACCTGCTGGTGCTGCTCTTTGGGATGCCCCTGGAGGTCTACGAAATGTGGAGCAATTACCCCTTCCTGTTCGGCCCTGTGGGGTGCTACTTCAAGACAGCCCTCTTTGAGACTGTATGCTTTGCCTCTATCCTGAGCATGACCACGCTCAGCGTAGAGAGATACATAGCCATCCTCCATCCTTTCCGAGCCAAGCTGGACAGCACCAGGAAGCGTGCTCTGAGGATTATCATCGTGCTCTGGATCCTCTCGGTCCTCTTCTCTCTGCCCAATACCAGCACCCATGGCATCATGCTGCAGTACTTCCCCAATGGCACGCTGGTCCCTGGCTCAGCTACCTGCACCGTGGTCAGGCCCATGTGGATCTACAACTGTATCATCCAGGTCACTTCCTTCCTCTTTTATGTGTTGCCCATGGCTGTCATTAGTGTGCTGTACTACCTGATGGGGCTGAAAGTAAGTCCAAATTCAACTGTGTTCCTTCCTTGTGTCTTTCCATCACTCAACAAGGGAAACCATTTCAAGTGGTAGCCCCAGGAAACAGTGTGCCAAATTCATCCCTCGTGTAACACCAGTGTAGAGTTAAAACGGTTACCCAGGGGATAAATTTGGCCAAATATATTTTAAGTGTTGTTGTTTTAGGTCTCAGTTGCAGTTTACTCTAATCTGTCTTCATTCTCTTCCTCCTCCATTTCCAACCCCTCTGCCCATTTCTACATTTTTCAACAAACGCAAGATTCAGACTGAAAGGAAACCGTAAAAAGAATAAAAAGGAGGGTGACTGTAGTGACTGGATCTCATGCATTATTTGCCTCTCCCCCTCTTGTGGCTTTAGAATTTCCACTGCAGCTTTGCTCTCCGACACAGGCAGGCAGTAAGTGTGGAAAGAAAAGGATTACAGCCGATAGTCTTTAATTAAAAATTCACATGCAAACGGCCACAAATCGATATGCTGCTCTACTACTGCAGACGGCACATTCAGCAAATGATTTCTTTTCAGTGAGTGGATTTCTAGGGAGACCCACATTCTGCTAGTATTTCACATCTATACTCCCTCCAGACACTAGAATTGCTTGTGAATGAACATCATTATGTGAAGATTGGGCAGGAGGGAACAACCTATACCTTACTGTACTAATGCACCTTTATTCACCGCAACAGCTATGAAATACACTGCTATTAATACTGGGTGGCTGTATTCTTTTTTTCTGTTTGTTTTTTTTTAAATATAACTAGTAAACCTGAATGTAACTTTGGCTGTAAGGCAGGAATAACTAGCTTTGCTGACTTGCACAGAAAACATGGGGAGGCACATGGATGTACGGATCACGACACTAATCGTACTAAGAACAAGAATCAGCAGTCGAATTATTGTTGCCCCGTTAATACATACCCTCAGCTATCGACTGTTTAGTGTCACTTAAAGGGGGGAGAAAAGACTTGCTTGCAGCGTCAATGACAATCTATGATGAGAAATAGCCTAAAAGTTATAGCAAACAGCAGGTCTTTGAAGGGGCGAATGGGTTAAACTTCTGCAAAACTGCCATTTAGCGCCTATTGTGGGGTCTTTGCACAGTTTCACTCGGTATCTTTAGCTGCACTTCAGGGCACGCTGCACACTATTTCCTGTTTTCTGGATAGTGTAATAGCTGAAAATCTTAAAACGAGGAATGAAAAGCCTTTGGTTCACGTAAAGAACTGCGGCTACTCGCCATTGCCCCAGACATTCCAAGTCATCATTCAAAGCACAGCTCACACGCACAGATTTATGGATGCTCCCAATGCTCTATTCTGTTCAGTCTCTACATCGTAAGGGCTGGGTGTCCATTCAATTATGCCTATTTCCTCTGCTTTAGGCTCGTAATACACCGCTCCATTTTAAGCCACATCTATCCCTGGCGCAGAACAATTGGCTTCAACGCAAGTTATGTCAGGGCAGAATGTTTCATTTTTAAATGAAGGGGACTGACAAAACGATCCAGTCAGATCATTTTCAGGCATCAACAATTTACATCTAGTCAGTGATGAGCATGAAATCAGTTAATAAATCCAAGTGCCCCCTTCTGAGCATCGTGTGCTTTCGGTAATGCTGAAGTGAAAAATTTCAGCATTGACCCTGGAGCATAGCTCAGGCAATTGTGAGGGGGAAGTTTCCTTTCAGTTCGGAGATTCCCAGCCAGTGCTCTGAAAGAGGGAGAACTGGGGAGTCCAGTTGGATCCCTCAGCGCTGCCCAAACCCTAAATGGTAAGGAATACCCTGCAATATTGCATTGCAGGAAGAAAGAATGACCCATGAAGAAGCAGCTCAGTAAATCCACAGCCGGGTTGAAAATTGGCAAGTGTCCTGCAAAGTGGACAACTGTATTTAAAGTAAAAAGTACCTCTCTTCTTCACTGTGAAACACCTGTCCCGTAGAACTCCTCCTGCCCCGTCGGACTGGTTACCTCCACTGCCTGGTTTTGATTTCCAGTCTGGGTTGCTAACATGCATGCTACAGAGAGCTCTATCCCTTGTGGGGAAAGAAAAAGCAGCCGTCACTTAGGGTCCAGTCTTGCAAGGTGCTGAGTATCTTTTTCACAATGCAGTGTGCCCTCAACACAGCCACTTGCAGGATTGATCCCTTGCTGAATGGCACACTGGCTCAGTAGGGAACCTGTCCAGGTTGCTCTAGCCAGATGGCTTTTGAGTGCAACTGGTAGCTGGAAGGATGAGGAGGCGAGACTGTCAAAGCAGGAGGTAGGATGGGAGCATCGGTAGGGAACTGACAAATACAGACTGGAGCCACTTGAAAAGAAAAATCTCTGCTGTACAAGGCATTCACTCGAGGTCCCTGCCTTTCAGACTAATGGAACACCAACAGCGGCTCCAGCATGCTGTACCTTCCAATTCTGTGGTGTTGCTAAAAGTATTAGGCCTGTATTGAGCCATTTATTTTTAACTGGAAATCTCCATTGAAATCAAGGGGGATTTCTGCTTATACATTGATGGCAAAATTCACTGGAGATAAATACACACACAAAGACAGTTGTGTGTGTTCTGGACGGCTCTGGTGATTGGTAAGGGCATATCAAACCTTTTGCTTCTGCTTTGCCTGTTCGAATTCTGTGCAGGTCAGTAGTCTCTGAAAGTTATTGTCGTCCGATGATTGATGTCATGGAAAATAGGTTCAAAACCTCAAAAATTCTCATGGGACAGGAAAGCTGTTTCCCACCCCGCCCTTCTCAGATGCTGTAATGACAGTGGCTATATAAGTAACTTTACATTGGTTAAATTTGTTAGGCTCTAAGGCGCCACAAGTACTCCTTTTCTTTTTGCGTATACAGACTAACACGGCTGTTACTCTGAAACTTTACATACAACACCATTGATATACCTGAGGGGATCAACCCATTCTGAGGTAACGACATAACGCCGATGTGATCACCAAACCTCTCTGTGGGAACACATTCCAGGATTCAGTCCCTGATGCCCATGTCCTTCAAACAGCATGCTGGGAAATGATGTCAGGAGATCAGTGCCATGGCGAGTCCGGTCACCTTACCGCTTGTCCTGGACCTGATCACGCAGGATCACGGTCGCCTCTGGCACCCGAAACTAGAGTCGCTCCTCCTCACAGCACGGATGCTCCAGGGCTGAGGGCCATGGAACTGTCCTGTTCTGATCTAGTCAGTTATCTGATGCTTCAGTTATCTGATGCATATTGTTTGCAAAACATTTTTGCAGGTTTCATTGCCTAAATAATTTGGTGAATATAAATCATTCAACCAGCGCTATAAGCTGAGCAAATCATGGTGGGGGGGTTTGAATAGCCTATTGTGGGGGGGTGGGGGGGAAATCCCACCATCTATTAGCAGAGCAATCAGGGTGACAGAATAACTCTCACATCACAAGACAGTGTCCCTGTCTGAGAATATCCCATGACTGAAGAGACACATTGGGCCTAGGAGGCATTCCCCTGTTCCCATGGATGCCAGTCCTCTGCCACCCCTAGCCCCTAGAGAAGGTTGACTGAGGAGCCCCCATCTGGACCCTGTCTCTCCCCATCATGGTAGCTATAAACCCTCAAGAGAATCAGACAGTGGGCTGTGTAGTGGCCCATGAAGATCTCCGTTTTTATAAAGTCACCCACAGAACAAAAAATGTGGAGAATTACTGTTACTAATCTTGTCCTGAGGAAACCATCACTAGAGGGAGAGGATAGGTCTGTTTCCATGCTTATCCACTCCCTGACCCTTTCGTTGATACTACCAATTGCTGTTGTGAGAAACAAGGTGGGTGAGGTAATAGCTTTTATTGGACCAGCCTCTGTTGGTGGAAGGTACACGCTTTCGAGCTCCACAGAGCTCTTCTTCCTTCCCCAGCTCTCTAATGTCCTGAGACCAACACAGCTACAACACTGCCAATCGCTGTTGTGACATCTGTCCACCGGAAATCAAACTCTGCGCACCCAGTTCACATCAGACTGGTGCTCCTAGACGCCATGTTGAAGGATTGTTTTATTATTGCATAGACAGGCAGGCAAGGCTATCAAGCTTCTCATCAGATGACAACAACTTTTGGTTACTACTAACTTGGGTCAGACCTGAGCCAGTGACCTACAGAAGAATGGTTCCAGTGGGCTTGTAACAGAGGGCAGAATTTCACACTATAACCTTTGCTGCCTTGTAGAACATACTCCAATACAGAAATATCTGACTAACTCCCCATTTCCGGCTTCTTGCTCCACACCTCTTTTATTTTCTCAGAGCACATATGTGGAATCCATTTTCAGACAGCTGAGCTAATCTCACACATGGTTCATTGCATTGAATGTTAGCATTGACATGAAGATGACAAGAATGCATGCAAAAGCCCCTACTCTAGCTAGCTAGTCATTCCTGAGGCACCCATCACTGCATTTTCTCCCCCTTGATGGCCTAGTTTGGCCTTCTCTTTGATCCTGCCACCACAACGCAGTGTTTACTGGAGAGTCTGAAGATCAGCCATCACGGTGCTATCAAAGCCACTGCAGAGAAGAAACCTCCCCCCCATTTCTATGGTTTATTACTCTGTCATAGCAATACATTCTCTCTGGCTTTCGAGCATTCTTAGAATGAATAGCTGTTGAGACTGAAAAATCACTGAAGGGAAGCTAAAGCTTTTAATCAATCTAAGCAAACATTTGTTAATGTTTACATATGTTATGTATCAACCAAATTTATTCCTCAAACAACTTTGATTATGAGTAAAAATGGCAAAGAAAATAATGAGAAATATGGGAAAGCTAAGTTGCCTTGTAGTTGCATGAAATATTATCTATTTTCTTCCCAAGTGTGAGTCCTACCTTATAATTGATCAACATAAAACCATGCCTGACCTTTATCACAGTTAAAACACTCTTGAAAAATGTATAAGATGTAATTAATCATAAAACATGAAACAGAAAACTAAAATGGAACAAAACGATGAAATATCCTCTTCTCACGGGAATATTTTATTTGTTCTGTTATTTTTGGCTTCTGTCTCTATTCATCTATTGTAATAAAAGCTTAACTGCCATTCTGCAGGTATTGAAAAATTGTCACTATAAAAATTGGCTGAATAGTCAACAATTAAAATCAAAATGTCTGGGCCCCAATTAAATGGTCTCTACAGATGATTCCAGCTATAGCTGGTTGAAAGTTTTTTGACAAAATACTTTTCTGCCAGAAGACGCTGTTTTGTCAGAATCAAAACATTTCACGGGAACAGGTTAATTTCAATTAAATTTTCTATGGGAAAGTATTGAAAGGAATTGTTTAAACTTTCTCTTTTTGTACCATTTTGTTTAATTTTGTTTCAAGTGTTATATTTTATACATTTTAGTAACATAAATATAATATATTTTATATTATAGTGTTTCAATGTTCGTAACATGAAACATTTGACCTTAGTGAAAGGAAACATTTTGACATTATCAAAATCACACAAATGAAAGATTCAGCATTATCAGACCAAATGTTCTGGTATTTCTGAATTTAAATTATTTGAATTTTCTGTTCTGGGAGAAATTTAGAAATTGATAGTTTTTCTTCTAATTTGGAAAGGAAACAAATTTCAAAATGTTGGAATTGCCCATGAGACGGAAATTAGATTTTGCCAACCCACTTTAGTTCCAGATAAAATCACATCAAAAGTGAGTTTCCCTCTGATTGACCAGTTAATGGCCTGTTCATCATTAAACCACCTGATCTCAACTCTAGCTCATCAGGAAAGCACTCCAGTAAATATTAGATTATCAAGAGTTAATTGGAATTAACTTTAATCTCACTAGTCATTTTAGTCTGGAGTAGGGAGAGATAACAAGTTGTCTCTGTTAGTTTTATCACCCTGTTTTTGTTGTTTAAAGGCCCAGGGAAATCAGCACCGAAAGTATTAACTTTTTTTGTTGTAATAGATTGGTGTGTGTTTGAATCTAGGCATGTGCTGCACTAGTGTTCTCTGCTTGATGGAATATAAGGATTCGACTCATCAAATTAACTCCAAGCAAATTAGCCTAAGCAGTTAGGGTTTGATTCAAAACCCATTGAAGTCTATAAGTATCTTTCCTTGGAGTCCTTTCAATCAAGCCCCTAGTCAGTATTTTCGGATCACAGGGATTTTAGATGATTGCATTGGACCTAGGAATAAAATAGTAGTGGATATTTTGCAGGAAGACAAAAACAAAGCTGAATTTTAGTAGCTTTATAGCCCAAATCCGACTCTACATCAGTCAATGAGAGTTTTGGTGGTTGTTGTTTTTTCAGACTGACTTAGAAGCATACTTTGGATGTACATTATTTGAGATCCAGAAAATCTATTTGTTTTTAACCTAAATTTTCACTAAAACATTGTTTTGGCCAGATTAGAAGTGGGAAAACCCCAGAACCTTTTATCTGAACCTTTCGCAAAAAACCAAACCAAACCAGCACATTTTTGCAAAGCCAAATACCTTGATTTGCCTGTTCTAGAAATGGAATAAAACTAAATCCTTTTATCGGACAAGTCATATCCTTATTCTGAGCTTTCTGGTTCAGATCAGATGGAACCTGGCTCCAAACTACCCTGGATTTAAGGTTGATATTAGCAAAACCCAAACCAAACTGGCAATATTTGTAAAAGCAAAAAACTGCTCCTTGGCCTCTCTTCCACGGTCTCCAGAGTGTCACTCCAGGACCAGCACGACAGTCAGGTAAAACAAAATGATTGTCCAAATATACAACATCTCTTCTTCACTATAGGCATGCCTGAAATCACTAACTTGCATAATGACAGGTTTCAGAGTAGCAGCCATGTTAGTACTTGGTGCCACAAGTACTCCTGTTCTTTTTGAAATCACTTAAGCCTTCCTTCAAAGGCAGGTTGAACTCAGTTAATGTCCTTTCTAAACCACGAATAGGTGGCACCCTAGAGCAAGATTTACTTAACTTTGCCAGACCAGCTTACCATAGAATTGGCATGGCGAATTCTTAGTGTGGCCAGTCGGAGTGCTTCAGAGGAAATCACATTGTTTCTTTCCCTCTTTTTCCCCTGGCCAGCTGAGAGGAGAGAAATCTTTGGCAGTTGATGAAATGGCTGTGAATATTCAGAGACCCTGCAGAAAATCAGTCACCAAGATGCTGCGTAAGTAATTGGTCCTTTTTTCCTATGTATTATTTAACATGGGGAAGAAGGTGCAGAAAAGAAGGAAGGTGCAGAAGAAACCTAGAGAAGTTGAAGGTGAAGTCTGGGTTTAATTCACAGGCGAAATAGGTTTGATGAACAGTTCAAGTTAACTACAAACAACCCCTTCCCTAATTAGCCCCCATTGGATATCTCTGATCCAGAAAAGCTGAGCTGGGGGCTTATAGACCATGGGACTGATGTTCCTTGGGATATACATGTGGGGTTCCACGCCTGGATTAGTAGGGGGATTTTCCCATCACGCTTAAGGTGCATTAGCAGCCATGTGTTCAAGAAGCTTGCCCAGCCGCGCCCTGTGTTATATTAAGCTCTAACCTATGCTATTAGCCGTGTGTGACTGATCCTTCATTGCCCTGATGAGTGCTAAAATTCACTATTGTCCCCCTTCCAGCAATTGCAAACTTCTGAAACAATAAGTAAATACATACGTGTTGTCTATATATATAAACCCTCCAGATGCAGGTTGGTGACTGTCTGTTGGACAGGCACTGCCTCCCCTGGCATCGTGTGCTGGACTTTTCTAAAGAAAGCTCTTGCCAATCTACATCCACCATTTACTCTTGATTTCACTTATCCCAACTTCTATCAGGGTCCTCAATGTTTCATGGCAAGATGTGGAGCCCCATGCAAGCCTACCACTTGAGCATCTGAACTCCAACAGCCTTGAAAGCACAAACATCACTCCCTAACTTTGGGCTGTCTTTAAAACATACTCAGCCATCCACCGCTACGAGGCAGGCCCGGCAATCGGAACAGGAACTACCCAAGAAACCTAAACCACGCAACACATTTCAGGAAATAGCATCTTCCTGTCAGAAGGCTTTGAGACAACTTTAACTGAGCATTTGAAACCTGGCCCTGGTATTCTGAATTCAGATGGCATTTCTTTCCTATCTATCTGCAACACCGATGAAGTGAGCTGTAGCTCACGAAAGCTTATGCTCAAATAAATTGGTTAGTCTCTAAGGTGCCACAAGGACTCCTTTTCTTTTTGCGAATACAGACTAACACGGCTGTTACTCTGAAACCAGTTAGTCTGTGACAGCAGGCTAAGATGACTGAGTAATCAAGCTGGTGAGGAGGGAAAAGGGGCAAATCCTTAACCTGTTTGGTGCTGGTCAGCGTACCATGGCTCTGAATGGATGCAACCCAGTCTGAAAATCAGAGGACAATCCCTTGGGTCTGACTCCCGACCCTGCAAGTTACAAGCAGTGCCCCCTGGAAATTAGTCCTGAGCCGTGATCTTTGCTTTTGCACTGAGAGAGGGTGACAGCTCAAGAGGCCATCAAGTAAAAGCCGCACTGATAGCATGAATCCTGCTAGGTCCTCCAAAGTTTGCTTAGGATGAAGTGCCATATAAGCTAAAAACCACCTGGCTATTATCAGCTCCACTAGAAATTTATCAGAGTATTTTAAAAAATCAATGTTTGCTGAATGCAGACCAGAGAGAAATGGATTGGAAATTTCTCTTTCAGTCTGAAGTTAATTTTGCAGAGAGCATGGCAGACAGCAGAGGGAAAAGCAAAGGTTATGAACCAGCTGAGATTCCCACTGGACAAATGCTCGGAGCCACCGGGGACTTTTCATCCTGCTTACTGAATCCGACTCAATAAATGCAAAGTAACAGGCCATATACTTCTGTAATTCTTTCTCTTTTCCTTTCTCCAAATCAGTTGTTCTAGTGATGGTATTTGCCATATGCTGGGCCCCATTTCACATCGATCGACTCTTCTTCAGTTTTGTTGTGGACTGGACTGAGCCGTTGGCCAATGTGTTCAACCTGATCCATGTGGTGTCAGGTAACTGTCTTTAACAGGGTTTGCTAATCAGTAGAGCTGGGGGAAAGAATATTTGTGAATAGGGTTTTTTTCAGGCAACCTGTGAGTAAATTATTCAGAAACACAGTATATTTATACTCAAATGTTATTCCTCGATTATTAGAGAGACAAGGTGGGGGAGGTGATATCTTTTACTGGACCTACCTCTGTTGGTGAGAGAGAGACGTTTTCCAGCTACACAGGTCTTTTTCTTTTTCTTCAGACCTAAAGAAGAGCCCTGTGTCGATCAAAAGGTTGTCTCTTTCACCAACAGAAGTTGATCCAATAAAAGATATTACCTGACCCACTTTGTCTCTCAAAAATCCCGGGAACAAAACAGCTAGAATTCTGCAAACGTTCCTCAATTATATTATTCAGAGTTGTTTCCAGTGTCTCCATTAAATAGATTATGATATTTTATAAGATAAGCTTTTTGGGGGTGGGGGGCAAAGATAGCATCTCGACTTGTTTCTGTGAAACACCTAACACCCATTTGAATGCACAAATATAATAAAATCAGGCATGATGTAACATATGGGGATAATAAATAAATAAAATTGGGGAAGGGGAAAGGAAGGACAAGGGTAGCAATAATACAAATGCATGGTTGTTCTCTTGAACCAAGTCTGCATCCAGATGCTTCTATTAAATGTTTTTTTCTTGCATTAAGGGTACTGAATTAGTTCACTTTATGTAGCCAGTATAAAAAAGGAGAGACGAATATTATGGCCCATACTTTGTTCTCAGTTAACGGATGTAAAATTGGAATGACTCCATTAAGCGTGGATGTACAGTGGTATAGCAGAGCAGAATTTGGACCCATATATTACAAGATATCATAGAGTCATAGAGTTTAAGGCCAGAAAGGACCACCAGATCATCCAGTCTGACGTGCTCTTTAGCACAGGCCACCAACAACAACCAGCCACCCACACCCAACAACCAATATTAGACCAAAGTATGACAGCCCGCAGGAGACTAGGCTGTTATGTGCCACAGGCAGAGCACAAGAAGGACCAAGCGAGATACACCTGGCAAATGATAACCACCCACAAGCTGCAGAGGAAGGCAAAAAAACCCAACCCTCAAGGTCACTGCCAATCTGACCTAGGAGAAAATTCCTTCCCAACCCCACTTATGGGGATCAGTTAGACCTTGAGCATATGAGCAAGAATCAGCCAGCCAAGCTCCTAAGAGAGGGAGTGCTCAGTGCCACCTTAGAGCCTTGGCCCTGGCCCTCTCCATCCAATCTTCCATCTTCAGCCATGGCCATCCCTGATGCTTCTGTGCAAGGAGATAAAAAACCCTCCCAGAATACATTGGTGCAATATAATATCAGTGCAATCAGACCCATTTATACCCCCAAATGCTTGAGTTTGCCCATGTGTTGCTTGTCAGAAAGATTCAGGGCTACACTTATTTACACAAATGTGAGTAAGGGTTGTACAATTGGGCTCACAAAGCGTAATGGCCAAAGAGTAGTGGTGTGACCCAGCGGTACCTCCACTGAAGACCAGGCAGTTTCTCTGAATTTACACCAGTGAAACAGAGGGCAAAATTTGACTCTTAACAGTTAGTTTTTGCCTAGTGATCTTCCCACTGAAAGGGATGTCTAAAAAATACGTGCTGTCAATGGGCCATATCTTCCCTCCCCTGTGTGCCTAGTGGTACTTCACCAAACACACCCAAATTATACCTTAGCCAACAGGCCACAGTGGGTACACCCCATTAGAAAACAAGGAGTGGAAAATGCTAATCAGGGAGTGCAGCTGAAAAACATAGCAGAGTTGCATGATCTACTTAGCTCTGAATCTGCCAACAGCACAGCGGAGGTGCAAAGTAAGGCAACAGAGCCCTGCTGTCAAATATACCTCCCGACAGTCATTAGTTCCCAGAACATGCAGTACAAAACAATACCATGCAATCAACCTCCACTAGCAGTGGGGCTTGTTCCTGAATTTCAGCAGGACATTCCTTGCAAAGTGTCTCAGGGTCTGATAGCTACTGTTGGGGATCGTGTTTAATCTAAAAATGGAACTAAAATTCCTGAAACGTTCCAGGATGCTGCTGGTTGTTTGAGTACTCGCAAAAGATGAAAACTAGGATACCGCAAATCACAGTGAGCCCAAGTCAGTGCTTTGAACTCATTAAAATATTCACCAATCAATGCTGCTGCTATTCAACCAGCTCTGATGTATTCATGGTAACAAACTTTCTCCTGGAGGACTTCTCAGCCAAGCCATGAATCTGATCAAAACTACAGACTTTACATTCTCCCCCAGCTGAGGTTTATGACTAAGGATTACCATTACTGTCAGCAAGAACATTACAAGAACTAGTTTCTTCAAGGGAGGAATGATCTTAGCCTGCTACGGGAAAAGTTAGATGTGGTTCCAAAGTGGAAATTAGGTGGCCAACACAGATTCACCATTGATGTTGGTTTATCAGGAGACTTCCTTCATTGTTCAGATTCCCCTTCCTCCATTGGTCTGATCTTATTGTTTTCTAGAGCCATTGGAGCTGTGTATCTCATTGTTACATTAAGAAGTAGAGACTCTCTCTTCGGAGCATATTCCACCCACTAATTAGCTGTCTCCCATGCTTTGATTTTCTCTCTTAGGTGTTTTCTTCTATCTGAGCTCCGCTGTGAATCCCATCATTTACAACCTGCTTTCCCGCCGTTTCAGAACGGCTTTCCTCAATGTGATCTCTCCCCGTTGCAGGCACTGGCCCTCCAAACACCCCGCCAGTGAGATTCCAGCCCAGCAGAGCATCTTCCTGGTGGGGGACCGCAATCTGGTGGACTGTGCTGAAGATGCGAGCTCCCTGTGCGTGCACAGAACATCTGTCTGTAGTTCTCATCTTTGTACTGGCCTATGACTTTATGTAGTGCTATGAGTGGGACAAAAGTCAATGAAAACCACTATTTTTCTTTAAAAAAAACCCTAATAATCAGGTGTCACAGGGTTTGGGGGTACAATCCAGACCGGTGAGGGGTTGTCACCTCTTCCCCAGTAGCCCTGGGTGCCTCACTGTGCTTTGCCGCTGTAGCTCCCAACTTGGGCTGCTCACAACCAGCCTACCAGCATGCAAGTTGCACCCTCAGTGTCTGTGTGCAAGACAGCCCTGGTTCAGCAGCTCTGATCCTAGTAGTCTGTCTACAGTCCCACTAGCATCTTTGCTTTGACAAGTTTCCTATTTGCTAATGCCAAAGCTGACTTCAGCTTTGCTAAGTGTTGTGGGATGCTTGACATGGGTGGACAGAATTGTGGGAAAAGCATAATACATTCAGATAACATAACCTCCCAATGCTCATATATATGTATAATGTATATTACATTAATACCATGTGCATAATGTCAATTAATGTGGTGTATACTACACCTAACATATATGTATTTGCTAACATGTGGGAGGATGGGGGGGGGGAAGTCCTTTCCCAGCTAGCTCCAGTACTAACACCATGAGTAAGGGGAGCAGGATTTCGCCTGAAGTATAAAAACAAATAAATTATTCCTGTCGTCTTGAGAGCAGATACTGTGGTCATGACTATTCTTGATTCCTCTGAGCCTGTCCCCCACTCCAGCCACTCTGGGGCTTCAGAGGGGCTGGGAAGTTGCCTGGAATTGGCTGCTGATTTTCCTGGTGTGTGAAAATCTCTAGGTCAGATAAACCCAGCTCCGACAACATTTTTTTCCTGGCCTCCAGCACGCAGGACACATCCTGAGAGAATGGAGTGTGTTCACTAGTAAACTCAGCTGTTACAACAGCCCTTCAGTGTACTTAGAGTAGCTTCAGAGCTACTCTTGCTTATGCCCCAGAGACCATCCTCATGCACAGCCATCTCTGGACTGAGGGACCTTGGCCCAAAAGTGGCATAAAACTACCTTTAGCCTCCCTATCTTCTGAGCTGTCACAGAATCATAGACAATTAGGATTGGAAGAGACCTCAGGAGATCATACAGTCCAACCCCCTGCTCAAAGCAGGACCAACCCCAATTAAATCATCCCGGCCAGGGCTTTGTCAAGCCGGCCCTTAAAAACCTCTAAGGATGGAGATTCCACCACCTCCCTAGGGAACCCATTCCAGCGCTTCACCACCCTCCTTGTGAAATAGTGCTTCCTAATAAACATGGATGCAGCTTAGCCTAGGACTGGAGCCAGAAAGTCTGCATGATAAATACCTTGTACTATGTCATATTTTCAGATTCCTGCTGATTATTCTCAAAATGTCTAACAGCCTTTGCTAGCTCTTGAGGGGAGACAACAGGATGCACATGTAAATGCAGAATTTGTTCTGTCATTTCATGATAACTGTGTAGCTGCCCTGTTGGTATATAGGTTTCAGAGTAGCAGCCGTGTTAGTCTGTATCCGCAAAAAGAAAAGGAGGACTTGTGGCACCTTAGAGACTAACAAATGTATTTGAGCATAAGCTTTCGTGAGCTACAGCTCACTTCGTCGGATGCATATAGTCATTACAGGCCAGATTTGTCCCTGCTGGTGTAATTCCTCTGATTTCAGTGTTGTTAAATCAGGGTGAACTTAGCCCAATAGGTCTACATCTGCTGCAGCAATGGGATTTTTACTTGACAGTAGCCACATTTTTTAGCCTGACTTACAGCATTGCTTCTGTGCATGCCAACTGATGGCCATTTCCCAGTGCAAGAGTGTGAAAGGATCCTTGTGGAGAAGGGTGGTACTGTTGCATGTTCATCCAGCTGGTTTGAGCTGAGTCTTAGATTTGGGACAGTTGTATGTGAATGGAGGAGCCATGGAAGATCACCCTGAATGGGGAGATTGGAGTGATAGGTCCTGCCAGTCACAGGAACCTCCTGTCATTGCATATACTTCACTTTTAAATCTATTGCCACTTATAGTTTATTCCACTAGTCAGTCCTTAGCTATCATCAGGCCTAATGTCAAGAGGACAACACTCTTCCTAGAGGTCTAAGATCAACATTAGGCTCTTAACCACCGTGAAATATCCTCAAAGCTGGAGAGTATTGTATTGGAAAGTACTCACGAATGTACACTTCAGAAGCTTTGTAAGATCAGAGAAGAAAGTGTAATGAAGAAAACTGGGACTTTTGTAAACAGTTTCACTTTAGCTGAATACAAGAGTTACTGGGAAGCACGAAATTTGGGGAACTTTTATGGGCCTCAATCTGAGCAAATCGATCAACACCACTGAAGACAACGAGGCTCAGTATGGGCACAAGACGCCCCAGACACAGATCTGATTGTAGGATCAGGTCATACAGTGTTTCACATGGGGAACCAAAGTGAATCAAGGAGAACCCTTTAAATGAAGAAATGGCCTGGAGTGCATCCAAATGTTGAAGTTTCTAATTGACCTGACTGTATTTCAGATAAATACCTTGCTTGTTCATTATTACACATGTATTGGAGCTGGATTCAAGCCATGGACTTGGAACTTGCTGCCACAGGAAGCCATTGAAGACAAGAACTTAACAAGAGCTGTAAAGGGACTGCAAACTGACATGGATATCAAGGCTATCTGGAGTAATTATAATTAATGACAACAAAAAATTAGGAAGGGACATTAACCCTTGTGCTTCAGACTTAAATGAATATCTGTATATGGGTACAGCTACAGTGCCCCAGTACAGCAAGTCTCAGAGTGCAGGTCAGCTGAATTGTGCTTGCAGGGCTCTCGCTAAGGGGCTGAAACTAGCCGGGCTCCAAGACCCTTCCCCTTGCTGGATTTAAGAGTCCAGGCTCCAGCCCAAGCCCCAGCCTGAGCCCAAATGCCTATGCTGCTATTTGTAGCCTGGTTGCTCCGTTGACCTGGACTCTAAGACTCACTGCTGTGTTGGTTGGTTGGTTTTTTGCAGTGTAGACGTACCCGATGAGACCTGTGTGGTGACACCACATCTGCTACTGTAGGGTTCTTAGATCTTCTTCTGAAGCATCTAGATCTGGGCACTGGTAGAGACATGATACTGGACTGGCTGGATCTTGGGTCTGATCCAGTCTGGCAATTCCTATGTCCCTAAGATCCCTCAGTCCCCAGAGTTCAGTGGGAATTGGGGCTGAAGCAGAACACTGGATCTATTTCTGATAACTGTGTTCTTTATAAAACAGCAATTGGGATGAATAGATCTATATATGTACAGGACTCATTCTAGTTGGGAAAAGAAAGCGTTTGCGACTCCCTGAAGGCTCAGTCAAAATCCTTTACTACCCCCAAGTGGACGCCTGAGTAGTTTCAGTGATTTGCATTTGTATCCATTTTTGTATGCTTACTCCTCAATCATTAAAGCTAATTTACACTGCAAATGCAAAGTGTACATTGCATCTCATTGAGCCTCCATCCTTGCGATAATGTGTCACCTACACACTTATCCTGTCACAGCTCATTGGGCCCTGCAATGTAACTAGAAATGTGTGGGTATTTGCTCACTGGTTCATGGTATTTACTAGCAGGCTGCACTGTCCCTGAAATTACCCATGTTCCGTCTCACCTTCCAGACTAAAAAGGAGTAGGGTGTCTACTACTATTCAGCTCTTAGACAGTTCTTTCCATCAGTAGATCACAAAGCACTTTACAAAGGAGGGCAGCATTATTAACCCCATTTTACAGATGGGGAAACTGAGGCAAAGGGCAGGGATGTGAGTTGCACAAGGTCACCCAGCAGGCTAACAACAGAGATGGATTAGAACCCAGGTCTCCTGAGTCCCAGTCCAGCACTCTATCCATTAATCCTGTTCAACATTAGGGGCTGTATTGTGGCTACCCCTGCATGGCTGCAGGGAGGGCGGGAGAGGTTGCAGGGATCCCCTCATTCTGCAGGATACATATGTGAGGGGAAGCCACAATACTGCAGCTAACCCTAAGTGCAAGGGGGGGGGAACTGTCAAGTGCTGCCGGTGACACAATAACCCCAAAGGAGGCATGGCACTGAATGGGGAGTACGGCCGGCATCCTGCACCCCCTTTCCCATCTTTGTGCTGGTACCTGCTGAGAGAAGCAGGAATCCCTGGTGTTGAGAGCACTCTCTCCAGTGCCACCGACGCATTCGGCTTGCCTCTGGCCTGCTTATGCAATTTGCCTCCAGCCACTGTGAAGACATCGCTGTGCTTCCCACTAATGCACCTCTGGCTGGCCCTGAGCCTCTCACGTTCAGCTGAGACTTGAATATTATTCTTTAATATTTACAGGGCAGCACAAGTGCACAGATGCTCCTTTCAAACTACAAAGTCCAGGCTCCAAGGTCCTCATGGTCTCCCTGAGACAGGAGAAGAAGTCTTAGACATTGGGCCTAGGCTGAGAGGAGATAGCATGTAGACAGGGGCTTCCTAGGCTTACATATACTTGCATAACATTTCTGGGAAATCTTCCTACCGAATTTCCTGGCTGTTGGCAACACAAATATGTGATTATATTTAGGGCTAGACTGCACCTTGTACTGGTGCATGGGGGAGACAGGTACAAGGAGCTTCCCATTCCCCTTCCACCCTCCTCGTGAAGGACCCAGCAAACCACAGCCTCAGATGCCAGGGAGCTTTGGGAGGTCTCCATCCTAGCACCTGAGGACGTGTGAGCTGACACAAATGGGGAGAGTGGGGTTGAAGGTGGGGGGCCATGCAACCATAAAGCAGGGAACCTCAGGAGAGGTGCAAAAGGCTTGCTCCACACCGGTGAGCTCTGGGAGATTCTGTATCTCCTGAAGAAAAGGAGGACTTGTGGCACCTTAGAGACTAACCAATTTATTTGAGCATGAGCTTTCGTGAGCTATAGCTCACTTCATCGGATGCATACCGTGGAAACTGCAGAAGACGGTATGCATCCGATGAAGTGAGCTGTAGCTCACGAAAGCTCATGCTCAAATAAATTGGTTAGTCTCTAAGGTGCCACAAGTCCTCCTTTTCTTTTTGCGAATACAGACTAACATGGCTGTTACTCTGAAACCTGTATCTCCTGAGTAGAGCTGGCTGAAAAAGGCCAGTTTGAGGCAGAACTTTTGAGAAGAAAAAATTCCGAAATGTCCAAAGAAAATTTTTCCACTTTTGACAAAAAGAGAAAAGCAAAATTTGTTTGTTTGTTTTCAAAAAAAACATTTCTGGTTAAAAAAAATTGGCTTTGGTTTTTTGAATACTGAAAAAATTCACCAAAAAACCCAACATTTTTGCTAAAAACTGCAACCACAGCCGCAAGTGTTTACCAAAACCCACAAACATTGATCAAAATGAAAATTTCTCTCTGAAAATTTTGGTCAAAGCCCCATTTCCATTTTTTGACCAGCACTCCACTGGAGGCATGTCCCTCCCACAATTCCCTGGGGGAAGGACATGTGCACAGCACCCGCAGGACAGGACTGTATTCAGATCACATCATCTGGCACTCCTGGTAATATAAAGATGGTTTGTGCAATCCAATTTCATCAAGAGAATGTTATAATGTGTTTATAGAGTGTTTCACCAAAAATGCATCTGATGACTCA